GAATCGAATTTTTGAATAATTCACTCATCTCTAGTAATAACAGGTAAGGTGTGGCAGCTTAGAAATGGCACCTTCTCCTTAGAAAAAGGTAAGTTTTTTTTAAGGTATCCTGTGTGAACGGGAGCACATAATTTGTGGAGCTTTCCAAAATGTAATACAATAATACCCCAATATGCTGATATTACAATAAAAAATATATAGTGTAATTCCATATGGGATTCTTAAAATGATACTTTAATTATTATTATATTATTATTATACAGTATTTATATAGCGCCGAAGGGTGTGCTGAGCACTGTAAGTTAGCAAGGGGGACAGAACATGAGACAAGACAGTAACAATACAATAATACACGAGGGGATCGAGGGCCCTGATCTTTACAATCTAGGAGGGAGGGGATAGTGGTACAGGAGGAGATGGCTGTGGGGGATGGAGTGGCAGGAGGAGTGGAGGAGATCGGTTGTTAAGTGAGGGTGGGGTAGACTTCCCTGAAGAGATGAATGCTTACATTTGCACAATATAAAATTCGCCTTATTCCCATGCCTTCAGACCTCTAGGGAAGCCGAGCGAAGGCATGGGAATAAGGCGAATTTTATATTGTGCAAATGTAAGCATTCATTAAAGTATTATTATAAGAATCCCATACGGAATTACACTATATCATTTTTATATACTATCTAGATATCTGTTGGAGCATGGGTACTATGAGTAATATGGAGTACTTCCTAAAAAGCCATGATGACATCTAGGAGAAGGTTGCTGATGACATCATAAAAGTGTTACTCAGGCTTGGAAGGATTTTGTTGGCGCTTGGTGTATACCCCCCTGTGTTAACCTCCCTGGCGGTCTGATTATTTCAGATTTTTGGTGCTGAAAGCGGTACCATTATTTTGCATGGAAATATGTAGTTTTTTTTTATTGTAGGCTGTAATTTTTAGGAATAACTCACTGAAATCTGTCCGAACAAGAGTCTAGTAAACATCCCGGGGAGGATAAAACTTGAAACACGAAATCATAAATTATAATTTAGTAAATAATCATAAATAATAATATAATAATAATACATGTAATTAAATAATATAATCAAACCAAAAACACTGAAATTTGAAATTTAGCGCCAAGTTCGCACATCGCTGAGCAAAGTCGCAAAATCGTTTTCAGTGTCTGATGAGGAATTTCCCCCACGAATTATTATCACTCAATTCTGCAAGTGGTTCTGATTTACTATCGCTGTTCTCTAGCCGGTCTAAAACCGCTTTTGACCTAAAGGGACGCTTTTTGGACGCCATGGACGTTTCTCAGTTTCCAGGTAGAAAGAACAGACAAAATGCAGGCAGGGCGCCGGACAAAGCACTCGGGACAATATGTATGTGAAATGGGTTGAAACAGCAATGTTTTACTATGTAAAATTTGTTTGGAAAAAAATGACATTTTTTAAAATGTTCAAATTTGCCGCCGGCGGCGCCCGTACGTCCTGACGTCACAGGGACCGGAACACAGAAGCCGGATGCCGGAGGAGATGGCCGGGGACACTGCAGGGGACACATCGCGGGAGCGAAGGACAAGGTAAGCTCTGCAGGGACTCCCTGAGCAACGCCGCATGGTAAGCCCGAGTGTAGCTCGGGGGGGGTTACCGCTTTTGGCACTGACATTTTACCCCGAGCTACACTCGGGAATACCGCCAGGGAGGTTAATAAGGTGATATTTGATTGTTGTTTCAGTAAGGGTATTTATGCCTTACACTTTAGAAGTCTACACTTAAATGGTCACTTGGATAATGTTACTCACAGAGTGACGCACAATCACTGTTGCTACACTGTGTTCACTTTGATTCCACATTTGATTTGTGTTTTTTTTTGAAGTTGCACAGTACATAAAGATCTTATTGGTATTAATTGTTTATTTATAAAGTTAATGCACTATATGAGTTTTCTTTTTTTTGAGGTTCACATTTCCTGTGGGAGCCAATAGGAAGGCTCGTCATCAAACATCTGGATAATTTTCCTTATTGGAGTTTGGAATGACTTTTACTTTTGGACACTAGTGAATGTTTTTTTATGATTATTTTTTACCTACAATTTGGATGATTTTTATATTTATATATTGTTTTCACATTGATAGTTGTATTGTGATCAGCATATTGGGGTATTATTGTATTAAGTGACACTTTCAAGGGTGAAAGTTAGACCTGTATGCTAGAGGGCTTATTTTTATATATTTTTTTATTTAAAAATTAATTTTTTTTAGTTTGTTTGGGATACTGTAGTTGTATACTAGCTTTCCAAAATTTAACTGCAACGTGGAAATACCTATTAAGAAACCTTAAAGGAATAGAAAAATCCCCATATGGAACGTGGTTTGGTGGCAATGGTCACATGTATAAAACCCAATTTTCTTCACGTGTTATAAACTGTTTAGTAGAATGAATACTGTTGACAAATTGACCACATCTGTCTGTGTATATAGCCTTTTTATACCATTGTTTGTTAACTAATGTACAATTCAAGGGTCAGTCATTATTTGGTAGAAGAAAACAAACAAGTGCGCAGATTTCCCGATCTCAGAAGGGCAGCACCTCTTCGATTGGCATTTTGGCAATTCCTTGGTTTGCATGAAGATTGGAGCGCTGGTTTCGTTTGTCTATTATTTGGTATAACTGCAACCCTACTATATGAACATGTTAGTTGGGACGTCGTTTTAGTAAGACGGCATATGGTATCTTAGTATTATTATAAATAGCAGAAAAGCACCTGAGTAACTTGGTATATGGCAGTGTTTCTCAACTCCAGTCCTCATGGACCCCCAACAGGTCATGTTTTCAGGATTTCCCTCAGATGAAACAGCTGTGGTAATTACTAAGGCAGTGAAACTGATCAAATCACCTGTGCAAAATAATGGAAATCCTGAAAACATGACCTGTTGGGGGTCCATGAGGACTGGAGTTGAGAAACACTGCTTTATGGCAACTCTGTGACCAAGCTCCATGGAAGACTGAGAGAGGCAAAGTGGGTGAAAGAAGGGCCTCATTCACATGGGCATACGATAGCTTACACCTGTGTGAAGGCCATGTTTGCCCGCAGGTGTTCCTTGTATTCCCACATAGGCAGTCCCATTCATGTCAATTCGGGAGCCGTGGCTGCATGGACAGCCTTAGGTGGGACTGTTGTGTTCCCTATGTTTATGTTCAACTAGATTGTAAGCTCCCAGGATCAGGGCCCTCCTATCCCTCTTGTATTGAACTGTATTGTTGCTGTATTGTCTCCCATTATATTGTAAAGTGCTGAGCACACTGTTGGCGCCATAAATCCTGTATAATAAAAATAATAATAATAAACTGTTGTAAAATTTATGTCATAGGAGTATGGCCGCTTCCTCATATGCAAGTAATCCTGGCACTTTGGCCTGCCCTCAAGTTCCTGAGGCAGCACTATCATGGACTGTGGAGTTGTTGGGTTTTTTTTACATGGGTACTCGCCTGTCATCATCAATGTGGAGATCAAGAATTTATGAAACACTTATTGATTAAAAGAAATGTAAGAACAATTATTGATTAATAATATCTCTGCCTCAGTGGCAGTTACATGTACATTTAAAGTGTATGTATAACTTACAAAAACTAAGATAAAAAAGGACCTCCTGCTTATAGTGGATATACCAGATAGTGATTAAATTAAGGGACAGGCAAACCAAGGAGTAAAAAAAATAGCAAAAGGCCAAATGGAATGCTGATTTACTAAAACAAAGTTAGAAATAGAAATAAACACACCACTGAAAAGCCCTTTATTAACCACTTGCCCTCCAGAGGATTTACCCCCCTTCCTGACCAGGCCATTTTTGCGTTACAGCGCTGCATTCGTTTAACTGACATTGCAATGCTGCACCCAAATGAAATTTATGTCCTTTTTTCCCCATGAATTGAGCTTTCTTTTGGTGGTATTTGGTTGCTTGTGCATTTTTTTTTTATTTTTTGCACTATAAAAAAATGACCAAAAATTTTGAGAAAAAAACAATATTTTGGCCTTTTTACTGTTAAACATGTGCATTAAAAAAATGATAAAAATCTAATTTTGTCATAAATTAAGGCCAAAATATATTCTGTGACATGTCTTTGCTGAAAAAAATTCCAATACGTGTAAATTAATTGGTTTACGTGAAAGTTATAGCGTTTACAAACGGTGTTATATATACTGGGATTTTGTTTAATTTTTACTAGTAATGGTGGGGATCAGTGACTTATAGCGGGACTGTGGGATTCTGGTGGACATTCTGACACTGGGGGGAACTGACTTGGTGTCACTGACATCCCTAGTGACACCAATACAGTGATCAGTGCTAAGAAAAAGCACTGACACTGCACTAATGGCACTGGGCAGAAAGGGGTTAACATGAGGGGTGATCAAAGGGAGTGTGCAGGGTGTGTTTTACTAGGGGGTGGTGTGTGTGTGTTTCACTGTAATCACACTGCTCTGTATGGCTGTTCTGTGCACAGTCATCCAGAGCAGTGTGCCCAAGCTGACAGGGAGGAGGACTGTTAGTAAACAAAGCAGTCCTCCTCCCCTTCGGTGATCATCAGAAATCACCGGGCGCCAGCGAGTAATTACCAGGAGAGATTTTTTTTGCATGTTAAAGGCAAAAAGTAAGTATTTCATTTTCTTATCATAGAACTTTCACCTTCTGATCACGAGCTTCCATGGTGAAGTAAAGCGTGTCCATTCTGTCCTCCAGGTCTGCCGTACACTGATTTCTTTTGCAGGTTTTAGGTCATTTGCTGGGAGGCCTTTTGAAGCATGACATCTGTCTGGCACTGAAAATCACTCAGCAGAGTATCAGTATGCACCTCATCACTTTCTGCGTGCTGGGCGAACAGAGCAGCCCAGATCCTCTCTTATCAGGTCCCTCACTGGCTCTTCTGGATCCTCCTCTTCTCCGAGTGCTCCCATAGCAAGCCACTTGCTCTGGGGGAACTTGTGCATGCTTGCTCCTGAGCAGGGGCAGACTGATCATTCGAGCACTCGTGCACTGCCCAGGGGCCCGGGGTCAGTAAGGGGCCCCATGAAATGCCCCTGGCACCTTTTATAGGCTTTTTTGGGTGTGCTTTGAGTGTGGGCAAGGACAAAGTTGCCCCATGATCCCCTATTGCCCAGGTCCCCATGAGTTGTCAGTCCGCCCCTGCTCCCAAGCCCCGCTCTGTGTGGTGTCCATAAGACACACAGAATGGGGCTTGGGCCTGCCAATGTTCCCTCCCTCACCGGCTGTGATTGACATCAGTCGCGTGCTGTCTCTCAGCCAACGAAGAGGCAGAAACCCGGGAGACCATTGGCTCTTGTGCACATTGCTGGATCGCGATCAGGTAAATATGGGGGGGGGGGGCGCGATGTCGGGGAGTTGCATACTGAAGGTTTTTCTACCTTCATGCATAGAATGCATAAAGGTAAAAAACCTTCAACCTTTGCAACCACTTTAAGGGCTTGTTCACACTTGACTTCCTCCCAAAGGCCACTATAGCATTTGACAGGCATTAGACAGGCGTTAGACAGGCATTTTACATGCGTTAAAACGCTCCGCAAATGCTTTCCAAATGCCCTATGTGCGGTTTTGCGGCATTTTATAGGCGTTTTACAAGCGTTAAAACCACACCACAAACTCCTATAATGATCTTAATGGCATTAATGCCATGCAAATGCCTCGCAAACGCCCAACGAATGCCTGCCAGGCATTTGAGGAGCATCACCACAGACTTGAATGGGAGTCGACACAACGCTAATGCTTCAGTGTGAACAGCACTGTCTGCTGCCATGTGTATAATTTTCATAGGTGTTTGAGGAGCCTTAAAAACGCCTCAACGCTCAAACGCCTGCTTTCAACGCTGGTGTGAACTGAGCCCAAAGATTAAATCATCAGATAGTGACTAAGTGTACATAGCAATTGATTCCTTCACTGGTTTAAAAATAAAAAGATGTCATTTCTCTGCCAGTGATATGCTGTAGCTGCACCCTAGACTAAAGCCCAATTTATGGGTGTTCATATGAGGGACTACAGTCAGCACTAAGCCCACCACCCATTCTTGGACTGATTGTTTATTATTATGAATGAACAGTCAGTCATCCTGAGCTGTAGGATTAGGCAGCTGGCTGCTTGTAAACTTACACAGCACTGGTTAACAGGGGCGGACTGACCATTTGGAAACTCGGGCACTGCCCGAGGGCCCGGGGTCAGTAGGGGGCCCCATGAGATGCCCCTGGTACCTTTTTCATAGGCTTTTTTGAGTTTGGGCAAAGACACAGGGGCCCCATGATCCCCTATTGCCCGGGGGCCCCATGAGTTGTCAGTCCGCCCCTGCTGGTTAATCTATCTCAAAACTCCACCACTGATGATTGTTCATACTAATAAACCATCAGTCAGCACACAGCCCACAGCACTGACTTTATTGTACAGTGAATGAACAGTCAGTGATCATGCCTGGAATATCCCCTCCCCCTGCTGTGCAGAATGGAGGGATTTGTCTGGGTCAACCCTTCATTACATAGTTATCTAATTGCTAGCAGCATGGTCAAAAGTAAGCGTGTGTGTGTGTGCGCGTGTGTGCGTGCATGCATGTGTGCGCGTGTGTGCGCGTGCGTGTGCGTGCGTGTGTGTGCACGTGTGTGTGCGTGCATGCATGTGTGCGCGTGTCTGCGCGCGTGTGTGTGCGTGTGTGTGCGTGCGTGCGTGTGCGCGTGTGCGTGTGCCTGCGTGCATGTGTGTGGGCGTGTGTACTGTCCAACCCAGGGGCAGACTGAGAACTCATGGGGCCCCCAGGCATTAGGGGATCATGGGCCCCTTTGTCCTTGCCCAAACTCAAAAAATCCTATAAAAAAGGTACCAGGGGCATCTCATGGGGCCCCCTACTGACCCCGGGCCCTCGGGCAGTGCTCGAGTTTCCAAATGGTCAGTCCGCCCCTGTACTGTCCAACCTCTCTGTTCAGCAACCATGGCAAGGCTACATTAATTTTCTCACTTGGAGATTTATTAAAGAGTTTTAAAATGAAGCGATTCTTCTTTTTTTTATCTAGTTGTATTTGTCTTCTATAACTTCTGCTGTGTTTTGTTCTACATCTTATTTGCAATCATTGTGTTCTGTTACTCTCCATACATACAGGTACATAGGCTTTCATATTGTTATATACAGTAAATAGAAATGTTTAATGTGTTGGAATAGATGCAGCAAAAAGAATACACTGTTCAACAAATTTTTATTTTTTGCCAGTTTTGGAAACAAAAGGATCCATTTCTTAATGAATTTCACATTCTGAGTTCAAATATAACAATGAAATTTGTCAATTGGCTCTAGTTTTTCTGTAAACGGAAAGTTTTCTACTATAGGCGTAATGACTACATAATGCACAATAATTATATAGATAGATGTCTTTCCACAAATATAAAGCAAGTGATATGACTACATAACAAAGCCTAAATGGCATAATATATTGCATAGGATTACCAAGAAAAATTATAGCCATAAGCTAAGTTGAATCATTTTAATACTTAGGATTCTCACTAGTTTTGTCTTCAGTTTGTGTCGGTTTTGCTTCTCTTGGCTTTTCTCTTGTATTGGAGGAAAGGGCTATCTCTTACAACTGCACGTGACTACACGCTTCAGGTTCTTCCTCACTTGACTCAACCACAAAGGATTCTGGTGCTTTAGGAATTGGTAGCCCCTCTCCATGAGGAACTGGACGTATTGCCGATGGAATATTTGGATAGTGCACAGATAACTTTTTCTTCTTATTTAGCCCTTTTACTGGAGGCACCATACAAAAGTAACAATTACTAACATGATCTGTTGGCTCTCTCCAAATCATTGGCACAGCGAAAGGCATAGATGCCTTTTTTCCATTCAACCATTGCTCCAGTGCCGTCCCACAAGAATTGCAGCATATATGTGGTGCCCAGCTCTTGTCCTGGTCTCCTATCTTGCAGCCAAAATACAAGTTGTAGGCTTTCTTAATCATTCCTGTTATCCTCCTTTTTTGTGAGATAAAAGTTATTTCACCGCAGATATAGCAGAAATTATCTGCTTTATTCACACAAGTTCGAGGCATTACTGAGTAGCCTATATAAGCATAAAACGAAATGTAAAGACGAAACTCCAATCAGCTAGAGATACTGCAGCTTTTATGCAGTGAAGTGATGCAATTAAAGGCTAATATTGCATCATCTCAGTATACATGACATTTTCTATTGGTCACCAGTATCAATTGCGCAATATGCAGCTGAAGTTGCATCATAATTTTGAATGGCTTATGTCATTAGATGGGTGAATATATCATGGAAACTAGAGCCAATCAACATTTTTTTAGGGTCATTTTCATTTTCAGCACCCCAAAATTATGTAAGATTAGCTAATTTTATGCCCAAAACTTTTTACCTGTTGAACAGTGATATCAGCAAATATTTGTTATAAGGGATGGCTGTCTAAGCAGGTTTTAAAGAGATTAGCGAAGGATATGATGTAAGTGTTATGACTTTTAGTAATTCATTTTCTACTTGAAAAAGATTGCTGTACTTTTCAGTAAAAGATATGAGCAGCAATGTAGTAATGACATCACACCACAGTATGAGGTGTACTTCATTTCAACAAAACAGAGCATTAAAGGACGAGGATAAAAGAAAATCTACAAAGTATTAGTGATAGATTCAGGTGCCAATGCAATGATGTAGTTGAAAGTGTGTTAATGGAATGTTGGTATTAAAGGATCAAATGAAGGTAATATGGTGCAGCGCTAAAAGAGTGAAAACTTTACACCCCGCAGGTCACAATATAGAAGTAGATGTTAACTGCTTCATTGCCAATAGCTGAATGATACACTATGCCTTTCATGTTTTCTTTTAACCTGTGTCCAATATCTTTATTTTATATTGTTTTTAATTTTGTTGAGTTTTATTTGTCATGTGAATATAGAGTGCTATATCACATTTTTTTGTGCAAGGGTTTTTTTTCATTTTATTCGCTCATTCTCTATGTAATAGAGTGAGTGAGGCACTAACTTTTACATTTTTACATTTTTATCTTCATATTTTTATCCTCATATTATCTATGCATTATATTCTAGATTTTATTATTCACTGTGTATTTGTTATTTGTCATATTATGTACATCCAGTGCACCCACCTTGCCGTGGTCCATCTATGTAGCCATTTGCCAATCACCGTGGGGCCACTTTAAGGCCATAGACACCACTGTTATATTATACAAATATTTGAGCACTGTCACTTTATGATCTTTCAATATAAAGAATATGTGTGTATACCAGTCACATATTTGTTCCCTGGGATCTAGGGCTGGCTAGCTTTCAGCTAGACCTGAATGGTTAATGGGATCAATCTCCCTGTCCCTTCCTTTCTGCCAGCAGTATCGCGGATCCACGGCAAAATGGCGCCGCCATCAACGCGCATGCGCACTGTCTACAACTTCGGGAAGATGGCCGCGGCTAACTGCGCACGCGCTGTCTTCCCCTGCATAAATTCCCGACGTCAGTCACGCTCCTGTACAGCCTCCCCTCTGATGATGTGCTTTTGGCACGAAAGGCCTAAGGAGGAGCTGTACAGAGCGTGACGTCATTCGCACCGCCGTAGCCACGAGGAGGCTCGGCGGACATCTTTACTAGGGTCAGTCACTGCTACCTTATCCTTATTTAACCTGTATGGGTCTGGATTTGCATGCTACCCTATATATATATGTTATGCTAAGGCAAATAAATCTCCTTTAACATACTACACTATCTCTGGCACCTGTGTGTTTTTCTGGGGCTCCTTTTGGAGCTGTTACCCCCACAGAGAAGGTGCCATTACCACTCAGTGGAGAGAGTCCCACCACCATTGTGAAGTGCCTGGTATACCTTAAGGAGGACCTCAGGATCTGGCTTTGAGTCTTCAGGGATCCACCGTGAGAAGGATGCTTACCATCCGAGTGTTGGAGGATCTGACATCTGGAATGATTATTCCTACATGCGCATAATCCATGCGTTTCTGGTGAGTGCGCATTGCTATTATTTAAGGCCGCAAGAGCTTTGGAAGTCTGCATCCTATTTAAGGAATCACGGATATTGCTACATTGACTTTTGACTGTCTTTAATTTTCACTCTTTTAGCGCTGCACCATATTACCTTCATTTATATTTACATTTAGAGGCATTGTGGTTGCCTCAGGT